TTTAGAAATGAAGAAAAAAATTAATGAATAAGATGATTTACACCCGCAATTCACAAATCCATAGGAACTGGATGAGGGGTTGATCTATCTGCTTAAGGATAAGGAGAGGCCATTTGATATAATTGCAGGCATTCTAATGTGTGTGTGTTTGTGTGTGTTTATGTTGATATTATATATATACAGGGAGAGAGTTGCTTAACAATGTTGCTTAAGGTGTTCTAATGTTCTTAAGGCTATCTAACATAATGATATATCCAATATCCATTGCTGTCTTCCTCCTTTGTGTAATAGCTACATTGTTTCAGAGGAATTGATGAATCCCATGTCCCCAGGAGTGGGCCATGGAGAATTTGTACCAATTAGGATAATGTTGTCTAACTTATAACACTGAGTGGTCACGTAATCCAGGACTAACTCAATCAGCACAGAACATTTCTTCATTTAGGGAGACTAGATTCACAAGAGGCCCAAGTTGTGCAAAATGGCATTCTTTTCTTGATTGTGGGAAACAAAAATCTTTCTTACTGAATGTAAACAAAGGAACACATAAATACAGTTGCTGTTGTCATCTACCTTCTTACCAAAACAAAAGTCTATTTGAAGATGAAGGGTTGAGCTGAGACTAGAGAAATGGAGACACTCAAGCTTTTCTATTATTATCAACCAAAATCATCTTAAATGGACCAGACCACATACCTGATATGGATTCTCTTGAAACTAATTAGCAAATGCATATAAGACAGCAAATTAATTAGCAAATACTACTTCCATGCTTATATATAAGAAAGCATATATATATATATATACAGTTATGTAACTTTTGTGATATATATATATATACATATATAACAAATATATATAGTTATGTAACTCTGTTATATATATATATATATATATACACATAACAAAAGAGGCATGAAAATAGGGTAATTTCTTGAACCCAAGTTTGGAACCAACATGAAATTTTATGTATGAAATGAATTGCGTTTCTCAGAAATTTCTGTTTCACTAATAATAATATTTATTTCTATTAATCCACCTATCTATTTATTTGTTAACAAGTAACAATTTTTCATTCTTCAGAACTTAAACTTTTATGTTAACTGACACTGGGGCATAGAATAATTTACTTTGTTAAATAAATGACTATTTAAGAAGGAGAAATTGTAAATTTACAATCTTTTAATCTCAAATCATTAGCAGCATTTCACTCACCCCTACATGTTTCAAGATAAAATCATAGAGAGTTTCAGTTATTTGTCTAGGTTACCGTTTTTGACTTTCAATGATTTCACAAGTTTGCACATTTGAAAGGACTCACACAACACCATAAAGTATGCTCACATAAGTCTTCTATTCAAATACAATACACTGTTGCTGAAACAAATTTCAGAGACATGCACTTCACACATAAAATGTTCAGTTGGTTCTCCACTTGGGTTTAATAAATTCATGTGTTATAACTGTATATGTCATAAACTATACTTATTTTTGTCTAAGCAGTCAATTATCCTTTTGAAACAGCTTTATTATTATATAATTCATATACCACACAATTCACTCATTTAAGCATACAACTCAATTTTTTAGTTTATTCACAGAGTTGTGTAACTATCACCATGATTTTAGAACATTTTTAGAACATTTTAATCACCTCAAAAAGAAATTCTGTACTCGTTAAAAGTTACTCCCTGGGGTTGCCAGGGGCTGGGGTTTGGCAAAATGAGGAGATGTTGGTCAAAGAGTAGAAACTTCCAGCTATAAGATGAATAAGTTTCAAGGATCCGATATTCAGCATGGTGACCATAGGCAACAATACCATATATTATACTTGAAAGTGAAGAGAGTAGGTCTTAAATATTCTCACCACAATAAATTAAAAAAATATAATTATATAAGGAGATAGATGTGTTAACTAACCTTATTATGGGAATTGTTTTGCAGTATATATGTGTATCAAATCATCACGTGATACACTCCAAACGTACATAACGTATGTCAATTATCTCTCAATAAAGCTGGAAAAAAAATGTTACTATTTATTTACCTGTAACTCTCCAAGGCCTAGAGAACCACTGATCTGCTTTCCATGCCTTTAGATTTTTCTATTCTGAATATTTAATGTAAATGCAAAGATGTAATCTACACTCTTTGGTGACTGGCTTCTTTCACATGGAATAACGTTTTCAAGGTTCTTTCATCAATGTTTTTGGCATGTATCAGTACTTCATTTTTGTATTGGCAAATAATATTCTATTAAGGGTATGTCATATTTTATTTATTTATGCATCAGTTAAGGACATTAGGATTGTTTACACTTTTTGGCTATTATTGCTAATGCTGTTAAGAACATTCATTATAGTTTTTGTATGAATATACGTTTCCGTTTCTTTTGAGTATGTATTTAGGCCAGGAATTCCTGCGTCATATGTTAACTCTCCTAACATTTTGAACAACTGTCATACTGTTTTCAAAGCAGCTGTACCATTTTACAATTCTAGCAGCCATATGTGAGGATTTCAATTTTTTTAATATTCTTGCCAAATCTTATTTTCTGTCTTTTTGAATATAGCCATCCAGTGGATGTGAAGTGGTATCTTATTGTGGTTTTGATTTCCATTCTTTCATGGATAATAATATTGGATGATAATATTCATATACTTATTGGCCATTTGTTTATCTTCTTTTAAGAGATGTCTATTTAGATCTTTGGATTTAAAAAAGTTGGTTTTTGTCTTTTAATTATTGAGTGAAAAGGGGTTTTATTTTTTTAACATATTCTGGATACTAACCCATTGTCAGATGTATAACTTGTAGACATTTACTCCTATTCTGTGATGTGGGCTTTCAGTTTTTTTATGATTTATTTTAAAGTAGTAGTTATTTTTTTTCATTGTAAAGAATTGCCATTTATCTGTTCTTTTTCCTTTTATGCATATGGTTTTGGTGTTGTATCAAAGAAAACTTTGCCTAACCCAAGGTCAGGAAGATTTACTCCTATGTTTTCTTCTGTGAGCTTATAGTTTTAGCTCTTATATTTAGACCTATGATTCATTTTGCATTAATTTTTTTGTATGACGTTAAAAAAAGATCTAACTTCTTCCTTTTGCATATGGATAACCACTTTTCCCAGCAAGCTTAGTTTAAAAGACTATTCTTCCCACATTGAATTGTCCAGGAACCCCTATTGAAAACAATTGACCATAAAAATGAGAGTTCATTTCTGGACTGTCAATTCTACCTCAATTATCTGTATGTTTATCCTTATGCCAGTACTTCATTCTCTTGATTGCTTTAGCTTTGTAGTCATTTTTAAAATTAGAAGTATGGTTCTCCAATATTGCTATTCTTTTTCAAAATTGTTTTGGCTATTCTAGACTCCTTGCATATCTATATAAATTTTATGACCAGCTTGTCAATTTCTGTAAAAATCCACTTGGAATTTTGATAGGGACCACATTTAGTCTGTAGATAGATTTGGGGAAAATTGCCACATTAACAACATTACGTCTTCCAATGGTAGCATGGGATGCCTTTCTATGTATTCAGGTCTTCCTTAATTTCTTTCAATCAAATATTTTGTACTTTTCAGAGTACAAGTCTTAATATCCTTTTGAAAAATTTCTTTGTAAGTGTTTTATTATTTTAGATGTAATTGTAATTGAAATTTTTTTTAAAAATTATGCTCCAAAAGCTCATTGCTAATGGATAGCATTATAACTGTTTTTGTGTATATTGATGTTGTATCCTTTATACCTGCTGAACTGATTTATCAGCTCTAGTAGTTTAGAGAATTTTAACATTATTTTCTGTATACTAGAGCATAACATCTGCAAATAGAACATTTAATTCTCCCTTTCCAATTTGGATATATTCTCTTATTTCTCTTGTTTAATTGTCCTGGCTAAAACTTCCAGTACAATATTGGATAAAAGTGATGAGAGCAGACATCCTTGTCTTCCTTATTTTAGAGAAAAAGCATTCAGTCTTTTACCATTAAGTATGATGGTAGTTGTGGGATTTTTGTAGATGCCTTTAATTAGATTGGGGATGTTTCCTTCTGCTCTTAATTTGTTAAACGTTTTTATCATGAAAGTGTGCTGGATGTTGTCAAATGTTTTCCTGCACTTATTGAGGTAGACGATCCTGTGTTTTTCCCTGTTTATTCTATTAATAAGGTGTATTACTCTGTTTGATTTTCACATGTTGAGCCAACCTTGCATTCTCAGGATAAATACTACTTGGTTATGTTATATAGTCCATTTTATATGTTGCTAGATATGACTTGGCAGTCTTTTATGAGGAATTTTGTGCATATATTCACAAGAAAAATTGCCCTATAGTTTTCTTTTCTCTTAACATCTTTGCCTTGTTTTGTATGACGGTAATATTGGCCTCAAAGATTGCATTGGAGAGTGTTCCATCTTATATTATGTGGAAGAGTCTGTGAAGAATTGTTATTAATTTCTTTTAAAATGCTTTGTAGATTCATCCTTGAAGCCAAGTGGGCCTGAGTTTTCAACTAGGAAAGTTTCTTTTTTTAAATTACATAATCTCTTACTTTTTTATAGATCTATTCAGATTTTTATTTATGGGCATGTCAGGAAGTTGGAATTGAAAGGAGAGACTTTGGTTTACAGACAATAAGAAATCCAGTGGCCAAAACATCAGGCTGGCCATATTTTCATTCACTGATTCCATTTAACAGCTTATCACAGAATATGCAGTTTATATTATGGTATCTGGCACATGTAGACTTTGGCTGGGGTTATCCTCCTGAGTTCAGAATTTATTACTGTGCAAATAGACATTGAAGCAAAGACTAGGCACACCAGAATAACCAAAGAGGAAAACTTTTATTTTGCTTCTTCTGGGTGTTTTAGCTCTGACTTTGCCAAAAGAAGAACAAAGGGATCTCCTTTTCCCCGGGAGGCTGGTAAGAAATCTGAGATTCTGCTCTGGAGTTGGAGAAATGTAGTCTCTTGCTCTTTCTCTTTCAGTTCCCTGAAGCACGATGCTTAAGAAGGGAAAGGAGGCCACTGAGTCCTTTTTTGTCTCCAGAAAAACAAGATCATTTGAGCAAGAAAAATAGCAGACTGGTTATTTACTAGGACCCACAAACTATATAAATAATTCCTCATTAGAGAAATACAGAATTTTACAGCCAAATCAAAACAGGATCCTTTGAAGTCAAAAGGAGTTAAGTTTAAGTAAAGGCTGTGAGCATGCTAGTCAATTTCACTGATGAACAGTATTAGAAAATACATTTAGAGAGTTTATCCAGTCACTGTGTAATTACGTTTAGTTAATGTGAGAATAATTGTTGGGTAAGGAAACCTGGTTAACAAAAGAGAAAAATAAAACATTGCCTGGATATGATGACTTATGTAATTATCTGGATATCACATGCAAATTATAATGAAGTTATGTAATGTTCCCTTCTCGTGTACCACTTTTTACACTATCAGTGCATCTTTGTGGTGAAGAGTTTGAGGCAGCATCAAACACAACCCAGAGGCCCTTTTTGCATTTTCACTATTGGGGAAAAGAAAAGAGACAATGGAAGGGAGTCAACATTTAATTAATCGCCTGTCATTGTCCAGACACTATCATAAGCACTTGATTATCTCCACTTTAAAGATGACATCATTGAGGTTCAATGAGATTAATTAATTTCTCCAGGATTACACAGGCAGAGAGAGGTTAAACCCGATCTAAAACAAAGTCTATCTTCACTATTTTCATTTCCTTCAGTCCTCATCCTACTCAAGTCCCTCTGGCTTTTATGCTCACCACTTCCTCTGCACTGCTTTCTGTAAAGTCACCAAAAATCTTAGTAGCCAAAATTGACTAGCATTTTTTTGAGCATTTTGCTTGTTTTGTCAACAGAATTTCACTTTGTTGACCACTCACTCCTTTCCTGAAACTTTTCTTCCTTTTGAGGTAAATCTACGGGAAATAACTCCCTCAATTTTTGTTTGTCTGAGAAAGTCTTTATTGGTCTTTCACTTTGAAGGATAATTTCACACAGTACAGAATTACAGCTTGGTGATATTTTTCTCTTAACACTTTATATATTTCACTCCGCTCTCTTCCTACTTGCATGGTTCCAGATAAGTTGGACATAGACCTTTTTCTCGTGCCTCCATAGGAAAGGCATTCTTTTCTTCTGGATTCTTTCAAGATTTGTTCCTTATCTTTGATATTCTTCAGTTTGAATATGATACGCCTAATTGTACATGTTTTGTATTTATTCTGCTTGGTGTTTTCTGGATCTGTGATGTGGTGTCTAACATTAATTTTATGAAATTTTCAGTCATTATTACTTCAAATAATTATTTTATTCCTTTTTATCTTTTTTCTCCTTCTGGTATTCCCATCATGCCAATATAACCCCACGTGTAGGTGTTCCACAGTGCTTAGATATTCTGTACTGGGTTTTTTCTTTCAGCCTTTTTTCTCTTTGCTTTTCAGTTTTGGAAGTTTCTATTGACATATTCTCAAGCTCACTGATTTCTTCTTTAGCTGTGTCCAGTCTACTACAGAGCCTGTCAAAGGAATTCTTCAGTTCTGTTACAGATTTTATTTTTAGTATTTATTTTTTATCCTATCTTAGATTTTCCATCTGTCTGCTTACATTATCCATCTGCTCATGTTGTCCACTTTTTCCATTAGAGCACTTAACCATACCTGTTTTAAACCTGTATTAAACTTCCAGTCTAATAATTCCAACATCGCTATCATATCTGAATCTGGTTCTGATGCTTGTCTCTTCAAACTGTGCTTTTTGTCTTTTAGTATGACTTCTAATTTTTTGTTGAAAGCCAAACATGATATACTTGGTAAAAGGAACTGTGGTAAATAGGCCTTTAGTGATATTGTGGTAAGGCACAAAGGGAGGAGAATAATTCTACAATCTTATGATTAAGTCGAAGTCTCTTAGCCTGTTACCTCTGGGCTGTGACTTTCACAAGTACTTCTCAGTTTTCTGCCCCCTCAGATGGGGGAGGATGACTAGAAGGGGCTAGAGTATTTCCCTCCCCCCAGGTCAGTTAGACTCTGATAAAAGAGTAAAATAGTTTCTCTTGAAGGCAAGCCTTGGTAGGAAGAACAGAAAAATCTGTATATATTTCAAAACAGCTACTTTTCCTATCCCCCTTCTGAAAACATAGGAGGATTTTTCTCTGATTTTGACTGTGAGAACCTAATGGGATCCCTAGAGGTAAAATTCACAATAGTTTGGGGACCCTTAAGACTGGGCCTCCTTGGGGTTTTTAATTATCCTAATTGTCCACACAGAGTTTCTAGCCATTCCTAAATTATATAGGTTTTCCTACCCTGACACTGGTTCCCATGGACAACCAACTTGTAAGTCTCTGTTCTAGTAAGTTGTGATTCTCTGTACCTGCCTGTCTGTCTCTCCAATTTATGTGGTACCCATATGCCCTGTGACCTCTATTCCCTGACAGATCTAAGAAGAGTTGTTAATTTTCAATTTGTTCAGTTTTTTACTTGTGGTTAAGAGGGAGTAATAAAATGACAACTTCTGAACTTCCTACATGCCAGACTGGAAACCCAAAGTTTGACTATACTGTTTTTTTAATTATCTACGTAAGTGTCTTTACCAAAGCTCTTTGCTTCTTTATATGAATTTTAATTACTGTCTTGGGTAATTTGCTTCAGCCTGAAGAATCTCATGTTATTTCTTAAAATGTGTCTACTAGCAACAAATTCTCCCAGGTTTTCTTTTTTTAAATCTAGGAATGTCTTTATTTCACCATCATCATGGAAAAATAACATTGCTGGATACAAGAGTCTTAGCTGATAGATTTTTTTTCTTTTAACATTTTGAGTACATCATCACACTGCCTCCTGCCTCCATTTTGTTCTGATGGGAAATAAGCTGCTAATCTTATTTAATTTTTTTTTTGGTATGTGATGAGTCATTTTTTTCTTACTGTTTTCAAGATTCTTTCTTTGTCTCTCAATATTTTGACTATTATGTGTCTAGATATGGATCCCTTTGTGCTTATTTTTCATGGAATTCATTGAGCTTCTGGATTATGAATGCTTTTCATCAAATTTGGGAAATTCTCAGCCATGAAATCTCTAGATATGATGTTTTGCTCCTATATCTCTTTATTCTTTATGGATTCTGTTAGATGTATGCCAGTGCAGTTAAGGTGTCCTACATATATGTAAAGCTCTGTTCATTTTTCTTGCTTTTCCTCGTTGTTCTTCAAATTATTAACCTGTATTGATCTGTGTTCAAGTTAGCTGAATCTTATGCCAGCTCAAACCTACTGCTGAACCCTTCTTTTGACTCTTTCACTTTAGTTGTACTTTCAACTCTATAATTTCCATGTTTATTTTTTATAATTTCAAACTCTTTATTATTATTCTATATAGGATGAGACTCTACTGGCATGCTTTCTTTTCCTTTTCTCTCCATGGTTTCCTTTAGTTCTTGGAACTCATTTATGATAGCTGCTTTGAAGTCTTTGTTTGCTAGGTCAAATATCTGCTTTCACACAGGCAGTTTCTGTTACCTGCTTTCTTCCTTGGGTGTAGGTCACACTTTCCTGTTTCTTTGCAGTCTGTAACATTTTCATTGGAAACTGGAAATTTTAGATATTTTAGCAATTCTGGATGCTAATGCCCGCCCCAGCACCCACCCCCGCCCATATTCACCCAAAGTTTCCTGTTGTCGTTCTTTGATTTTTCATTAGTTTAGTGACTTGACTGGATTATTTCACTGAAATAAGTTTTGCCTTTAATGTGCCACCTAGAATATTGTTCCTCAGAGGCATAATTTACTCTATAGTCTGAGCCAGTTAAATCCAAGTGCCTTTGCAGGAGTAGTCTTTGATGCTTGTTTCTCTCTGATACCAAAAGGACTCTTCTTAGCTGTCTCTTTCTTTGGTTCTCTCTGTTAAAATTCTAGCTGGTCTTTAATTTAGCTTGTTTTTCTCAGGAGCTGCCAATCTCTTAATTTCTTACCACCACAATCTCCAAAGTATTTGATAGCACCCTTTGTCTTTCACTTCTCCACCTTCTGTTCCAAATAAATCATTTACTTTGGAGAACTACAGATTCAGCAATGTCACTCTTGTGCATTTATCTCTGAGAAATGAAAATTAGGTTCTCACAGAAACTTGAATACGAATGTTCATAATTCCTTAATACGTAACAGCCAAAGCCTGGAAATCAATGTCATTCAATGGGTAAATGGTTAGACAACCTGTGGTAAATCTATACCAACACATACAACACAGTAATAAAAGGAAACAAAGTATTGATAGAAGTAAAAACTTTGAAGACCCTAAAGAGAATTATGCTAAGTGACACAAAGCCAATTTTGAAAACTTATATACTGTGTGATTTCATTTATATAAAATTCAAGTCATATCAAAAATTACAAATATGGAGAATAGATGAGTAGTTACCAACAAGTTAGGGATAATGAGGAGAGTGGGTGGGTATGTCCATAAAGGGGCAGCAACAAAAAGCCTAGTGTTCTTAGTACGGTACTGTATCTTGATGTGATCATAGTTACATAAAACTACACATGTGATCAAGTTGCTTAGAACTATACACACACATGCATGAGTGCATGTGGAAATGGTGAAATAAGAGTCATCTCTGTGGACTGTGTCAATGTAGATTTCCTTGTTTTTATATTATAGTATAGTTAGGCAAAATGTTAACATGGGGGAGGCTAGGCATTGGGTACATGAGACTTGTCTGTATGTTTATTTGCAACTTTCTGTGAATATAAAACTAAAAACTAGAAAGTTAAAAAACTGAATCATAGACAGAAGTGTAAAAGGTTAAATTATGCAACTTTTTGAAGAAAATATGGAAAAATTTTGTAAGTCTAGGACTAGACCAAGAGTTCTTTCACCTGAGAACAAGTCATGATCCATAAGAAAAATTTATATTTGGTCAAAATTAAAGACATTTGATCTAAAAAACACCTTGTTAAGAGGGTGAAAAGACAAGCTGAAGTCTGGTAGAATGTATTTGCAAACCATGTATCTGGCAAAGATCTAGAATGCACTAAAATAATTCAAACTCAACAGCTGAAAAAAATCCAGTTAGAAAATGGGCAAAAACATAAACAGAGAATTTACTTAAAAAGATTTACAGATGGCAAACAAGCACATTAAAATATACTTAAGATAATTAGTCACAGGGGAAATGCAAATTAAACCAATGAGATATCACATTTCTCCAAACAGAATGACTACGATTAAAAAAATAGTGATAATAGTAAATACTGATGAGGACGCAGAAAACTGAATCACTCATACATTACTGGAGGAAACGAGAAATGGTATAGCTATTGCAACAAAAAATTTGTCAGA